TTTAGAGGCTTCCGCTACCTTCTACAACTCTCGATTCAGAGGGATCCTTGGAGGGTTAGAGTTAGAGGGCCTTGATGCCCCTAAGAGGGACTCGCCCCCTAAAGTTCCTTATGACTGATGCATTCAAAACCAGAAAGTCTCGATGCTTTGTGTGAAGCTAGGCAAAGGAAGTGATGAGCTAGTGTGGTGCATGTTCTGCTTCGTGGGTGGAGTGTTTGGGTTGACCGGGTGATCCGCAGAGAAGCACACGCACACGGCAAACACAGTGGAGGTTCGTGCACTGGAAGGCGTGCATTCCAGCCAGGAAAAACATGGAAACAATAATCATGGCAGGCTCGGAAATGTGTGCCACCGGACAAGCTCGCATGCATCAGCAAGTCTGGGAGCAAGAAGAGTACAGAGCACAAACAGCGCTACTGTAACGAGTTCGTCAATGTTTGTTCATGGCGGCCTTGGATGCTTGTTTTTAACCCTTGCTTGTGCTCACGGCTGGTGGTGCGTGGCTTTCTTCAAGTGACGTTGAAACCAACGATCTCGAATGTTTTCCAAGCCCGAGCAAGGCACAAGTGGCGTGTGGGAACCCCAAATCGAGTGATTCCGTGCGCTAGCAGCATGCGCATCCGGACGGTTGGGTTCTTCAAGTCGAGCACGAAGCTCGAGATTGAGCAAAGCCAGCTGGATGTGATTTGCGTTTGATTTGCTGCGCATGTGAGGTTGCGCTCCTCCTGTTCTTCGTGGTGAACTTAATCATGCGTCAGGATGCAGTTGGTGGGGAATTCCGTCGAGCATCTGCCTCGGAGAGAGGGATGAGTGTTTCAGGAGTCCATGCTCTATGTGCCCTGTGTTATGCCGGGAATGCAGACCCCAAGCTGCTTGGCATTGAATTCAAGATGGCGGACGCTTGCCGGAAACTAGATGATCCGGCCCCTGAGGCGATAACCCAGAAGGCATGCGCAGCCCTGTGCGAAGCTTAGTCGCGGTGTCATCGTAGTTCACTCTTGCTTGCATGTATGAAGCTCCTAAGGCTGACAGGCAGATGAAGTTCGAAGATGCCCCACCCCGATACCAAGCACTCCAACAGAGACTGAAGTGGCCTATCCCGTGAGGTCTTTCTGGAGACAGTTGATGGCTTGCAGATTCCCTGGCACTGTCAACATTGTTGAAGCTGTAGGTCTCATGTTGATGTCACATCGGAGCAGCCAAGGCGAATTCACGCATGGTTCTTGCCAGCAGGAGATGATTCTGTCCCCAGCTTAGCTCTCAGGCCCCGAGACCCTTTCAGGCATGTTTCAGGCGAGACGGGTTACATCAGCAAACGATCGAACCTCCGACTTGTACTGAGGTTCAATTAAGTAACCGCCCGTGTGGCAGGGCCTTTGCGTTCTGAGGGTTCAAGTTAATTTCCATGAGGTCGAAAAGGGGGACACCAATGGCGGGGTGGTGGTCTCCCTCTCCCTCTCCCTGTCTCCCTCTCTCTCTCTCTCTGTCCGGCTCTCTGTGTTCACTCCGGAGGAATGCACTAGCTTCTCGGCCTGCTTGGGCACCAATTACAGTACAGGAAGAGTGTCTCTGGGCACCTGAGGCAACTCGGTCTGCGCCGACGCTGCTCTTCTGCCACGCAAATGCCGGGACTGATGTGGGGTTTGGCAAACACATCCCCGAAAGGGGAAAGCAAGCTGTTCTCTGCTACCGGCAGGAATATTGGTCTTCGCATTCCAAACTTCGAGCATCTCATCAAACGGCTGCAGGTGAATGCGGCCAGCTCAGCGAAGCCATGTTTCTGATGTTTCTGCGGTGGCAATGGGTGGCATTGGCATGACCCTGTTTAGGTCTTTGCGCTCGACTATCGGGGATATGGCCAAAGTGAAGGCATCGGTCCCGTTATTCAATCTCGGACTTGGAACCACACAAATGCACGTTGGCCAGGAACTCCTTCCGAAGAGGGTCTTATCGAGGCCTCGCTGGGGTTGCCGGCGAATCTTTCCTTTCTGGTATGACCCGCATCTTGTTTATGCATTGAGGATGCCTTGTGTGCGTGGAGGTGGCTGCAAAAGGTGCGACATGTGGATTTGCTTTCACAACTCTGGCTGTCTGGAATTGGAGCCTGCAGGAATCTAGTGCAGGGCGCTCCCGCCTCGGCGCAAAGTCTTGAGAAGGGAAGGCGTCTGTTGTGGCCACGGTCGAGTGAGGTATAGATGCCGAACAGCTTTTCGTTTTTGGCAGATCTCTTGGTGGAGCCCGGCCCCTACTCTGTCAAGCTTTCGCTGCCATCTAGGCGAAGCCGCTCGGCTCGGCAAGGAAACTAATGGCCGCTTCCCGCATCCGATGTCCCAGCATCATCCGTTCAGGCTTTGCAGCTCCGCACATCTGCCCTGCTACGCAGGTGTAGCGGGAAAAGTCATCTGCCAAAGGAATCAAAGGCTTGCGTTTCGCATTAGGGCTTATGGCGTTTGAAGCCAAATCCTCAACGATGTCTTGCTGCAGTCACGATCACGCATCCTTGAATTCCACAAACCGAGGCAGTTACCATAGCACTTGCCTCTGAGCTTCAGAAGCGTGCGCAACAGCCGCTACCTTGGAGTCGGCTCTCGAAGCAGTTGGTGCTTTCTTTTTGGCTGCCCTTCGTGATTCGGCAGGCCGCTCCCAAGGGGTCTCATCTTAGAGAACACGTCAGAGACTTGGTCTGTTGTGCCTAGCGGACCGTTGATCTTAGCGACAATGCCAGGTTCACATCCATTAGTGACGTTGCCAGCCTCTGAGTGTAAGTTCGGTTTGGCTGACTTGGATCTTGTCCAGACATCGCCGAGGTCAATGCGCTGTTTCCCATTTTGGCATTCGATGCTTTGTGGCATTGGTCAGAACGCGCTCAAGCCAAAGCTTCTCCAAAACTCGGGCCTGCGACTGCAGATTCTGTTGTCAGGAAAGCCTGAAAAAGCGTTTCCTTCGAATAAAATGGGCCTCTCAACTGCAGTGCAGTCTCACGGACTTGAGTCTGTCAGAGTTCGTATCGCGAAACGCGAGCCTTGCGCTCAGGAAAGCATCCAAAGAGTTCCGGACCTCGAGGCCTCCTCGCACCCTGGAGTAGCTCTGAGGCTCTGAGAAGAGCTGCAACATGAGGTACCAATGCTGTTCCTCACAGGGGAAAAGGAGCCTCCACGCTGCTTCAACGGTCCATACACGGTGAGATGAGCCTGAGGATGAGATGATCCCTCCTTCCCACTCCCGACTTCTGCATGCGCGAGCAGAAAAGTCCAGGCACGGCTCTGTCCTGGGTGCTCATGTGCGGCAAACAACGGCCCCTAGCGCTGCCGAGCATTGCAGTGCTTCGCGCAGGCTTAAGCGGCAGGTGGCTCGCGACTCAGATCACCCATGAAGTGTGCCAGAAGTCATGTTCCCACCCTGATCTCCAGGTGTTTCCAGAGGGTCACCACAACGATACGTGGGAGAAGGGTGGCGAGGAGTGGCTTCGGCTGCACGGATGATCAGGTCCCAACGGCCAAGCGTGCTCATCAGTCTCGAATGCTGCTGCTCAGGTATTGGGAGGTGCAGGCGACTTTCCTGCAGGCCCGGATTCCCAAGTCGCGCAAGTTCCGTTAAAGTTCAATTCTAGACGATAGATAGCCGGCTTTGGCGCTCTAGTGACTCTGGTCATGGTACCCAGCCACAGACCCCAGAAGGCGTCAGAACCTGCCAAGTGGCTTTCGGGCATGCCACGTGCCAGCCGAAAAGGATGTCAGGATGCTTCAAAATAGCCCCTGTGACGAGATATCCATCTGCGATGGTTCTACATGAGCTCGTGGTGTTAATTCTCATCCATGAGGAGGGCCAATTCATACGGCAGCAGAGCTCAATGCTCAAGTGTTGTGGCTGCAGGAGTGTCTCTCGCAAGCTGCAGGTTCCAAGAAGGCCTGCAACTTCTGATCCGATTGTAGCATTGGTTTCCTGGCCTTCTGAAGGTGAACTCGGAGCCTGTGCAGGCTGCAACATGTACTTGTCGCTTCAGGGCAGAGGGGCCCCTTGTGTTTTGCTCTGCTTCTTCAGGTGCCGGAAACCACCTGATGCCGCTTGAGACCTTCCTGAGCGGCACGTGAACGTGATGGGAGCAGTCAGGTTGCGGATTTGTGCCGTCTTCGGCGCCCCTTACTTGCGAACCCACGTTCTGTCTCCCGAGCCCTGGAAAGTCGCAAGCCTGCAGCTTGCACAAAGCCGCGGCCTTCAGATTCCGCGAGCTTCTCCGAGAGGCATGATGCCCCAACGCGATCTGCAAGCCCATACAGTCTTACAGGCAGCAGGAATCCAGAGTGGGACTTTAGCTTGCGGGAATCGCTTGGGACGGCATCGTGTCCTCGGGGTTAGCCAGCATTCCCCTGGCTTGCTGCAGCACTGTCCCAGAACATCCGGGATAGGTTGCGCGTAAGCGCAGTGAAAGCGGTCTAAGCTAGCATGGGTTCGACATGTCCCGAAAATCAGCCTTTGATCATGCCCGTGCTTGCAAGGGGTTCATGCGCAAGGGTCGCCAAGATCTACAGGTGTGCAGGCATCGTCTGACCCGTATTGGGCTTCATGGAAGACCCCTGGACTGTTTGGAATGCCTTGTACCGATGCAGCCTCCAGCGTGAGTGTAGGAACCGCAATTCACACTCGCTAAGCCGCTAGTTTTTTCAAGCTTGCTGTATGACTGTCATTGCTAAGTGGCTTGGTCAGATGCTGCCAATGCTCTGCAGCGCAACTGGCCATGAGGACCGGCGTCGCTGGCCGTTGCTGGGCGTCGGTTCTGTTGATCTTGGGACCTTCGACAGGCACAGGGTGTGAGACCAGAGGGCCTCAATCACCACATGCGTTGACGAAGCTATGGGACAAGCAGACCTTGGCGTCTTTTTCAGTATCACAGCTGCAAGCCTTTGCGTCGATGGCTTGCGGGCGCTGCCCCCTGCTCTCCCGGGCCGTGCGCTGCACAGCCCGCCGGGCCGGCCTTGGCGGCCTTGGCCCCAGGCCACCGGAGGCTTGGAAGCACCAGGCATACGCCTATTTGAGGGAGGAGGCCGCATTGGCACAGCGCCAGGCCAATGGAGCACACAAATTCGGGAACCCAAAAGCTAGGCCCTAAACCCTCAAGGAATAGACCTCCTGCCCGAATTTTCAGCGAGACCCGGAGTTTCAGGCACGAGCCATGATGAGGCACGTCTGGTCGAACTACGAGCAGCGTGCTTTTGGGAAGGATGAGCTGAAGCCCGTTTCTGGGCGTGGAACTGATAGTTGGGGCGGACTGGGTCAGACTTTGGTGGATTCGCTTGACACTCTTTGGCTCATGGGCTTTCACGAGGAGTTCGATCGGGCCGCCGATTGGGCGGAGAGCCATCTAGACTTCAACAAAAATTTGAATGTGAATTATTTCGAGACCTCGATTCGTCATTTGGGCGGCCTGGTCTCTGCCTTCGTTCTCAGCAGCCGGCCTGGCTTGCTTGGCAAGGCCAATGACTTGGCCATGAGGCTTGCTCCCATTTTTCCGAGCCCCCAGGGTGCCAAGCAGGAGCTGTCCATGTCCGACCTCAATCCGGGTACCGGAAGGCTTCAGGACTGGTTCGACGGAGCCAAGCGCTTTCTGCACCAAGTCTTTACCGACACCAGCGATTTCTCTGGAGAGTTGGACTTCGATCTGGGCGACCTGGTCGAGGATCCATCTGGACATTTCACAAACGACGAGAAGAGGGCGAAGAAGGATCACACGGCCCTTCCCCTTTCCGATGTGAACTTACAGACAGGCAAAACGAACGATCTTGCAGGATACCTCTCCTTAGCTGATACTTGTAAGCACTTGTCACTTTTGTTTTTGCTGACCGTTTCAGTTTTTCAGCATGATAGTTGTGATGCATTGGCAGTGCGACTTCGAAAAGCTATAGATAGACATGACAGATCGCGCAAGGAGACTTATGTGCCGCTGGAGTGGAAAGCTCTGGCGCTTCTTACATCTAACTGCAGCTATGCAGTGCACCAAGACCAGGCACTTGTGCGGAAACCACAGACTTTGAAGGATGCTTAATCTGGGGCACAGCATGCCGGGTCAGGGATCAACACTGCCATATGCGGTATCCTTACTGACGAAAGTCTGCGGGGTTTGTTCTGGTGGTGCGGCATTCAAAAAGCCGTGGATATAGCGAGGATGGGCGACTAGGCCCGGCCAGGTGCAACAAGCGGCAAAGGCTCAGAATCGGAGCGGTGTCGAAACCTTATTAAAACCGCAGCTTGAGGTTTGAGGAAGGTTTACAGCACGTGGACCCTATAGGTGCAGTAGGAGAGGATTGCAGCCGAGCGGTTCCCTTCTGCTTGGTGGGGCAAGAGGCCAGGGCCAAGCAAAATGGATAGGCAAGAAGTGAAGCGACTGTCATCCACTAAGCACCGCAGCATGTGACCCGCGTTTGAGAGCCAAGACTTTCTTAGACTTAGCAAGGCATGGAAACAGAGACGACAGTGGCATTTGCGAGCAAGCGCTAGCCAGATCAACGCATGCCTTGGCGTGCAACGGAAGAAGGCAGACAGGAGTGTGAGGAAAGCATGAAGGAAGGAGTGATCTCACGGCTTCTGGCAAGAGCATCGTGCGGCCCGGTGGAAGGTTTACGAATACTGATTCCGCAGCGTGCTGACGGCTATGATGCCTTTCCAAGTTCAAGCGTTTGCACTGCTAATTGTTGATAGACCAGCGAGTACGGGAAACAGACCCGTGAAGGATGTCATCCCAAACAGGTCCTTCATGTTCTGAACGAAAGCGCTGGCCTTGAAACGAGGGGCTATGCTGCGATTCTTTTGAAGTGTTTCGGCAGCAAAGACTCGGCTGGCCCAGACTTGCACATACCAGCGCACAGCTGGAGTCGAGCTGAGGAAGAATGGCTACGTCCATGCTCTTTGGCACGGACCCATCCAGTCGTGTACCATGAATGCTTTCGGTTTCTGATCCACGGCGAAGCGCATGATGTCACCTCCCGCATACTCCTTTCATGCCCTTTTTTTGCTTCGGGGCGACGAGCAACGAGGTTCTTCAGGTTTCGACCATACATGACCAGCCAAGGGGATGCAGGACAATCGCATTTCACTTGGAAGCCGTGGCGACTCTTTCTACGATCCTGTGCGGCATGGAGGTGCAGGATAATCAGAAGGGTTGCAGCGCGCATTGTATGCACAACTCTTGCACCAAGGAGTACTTGCTCAAGGATGCTATCTTCTTGGGAGCCCATGCAAATCCACTAACGCTGAGCGTATGGGTTGCCTGGAATCAATGTGCAGGTTTCGCTGGATTTCTTTTGTTTGGAAGGTTGCTTGCAATCCCGAAGAGAAAGCCAAGGGTGCCTTTCGTGCCAAGCTGCGCAATCTTCTGGTGGAGGTCGACATGCCCAGGTCTCCTGATGCAGCTTTTGGAAGGCTTTCAGTGTCTAGTAGCCCCTGCTCTCTGTCAGGCAGGCTCGCAAGCAAAACCGAAAAGGCATGAGCAAAGGCAAGGCACATGGGCTGCGTGCTGGTCGTGGTGTGGACAAGCGTGGGCAGCCTTTGTCATGTCATTTGTGACGTCTGAAGCTCGAGTATGATCTAATGATGCATTTGTTAAGCACCAGCAAACACGAGGTGTCTGCCCGAGACAAGCCGTGATGAAGCTATGATGTGGCAATTCAGAAACGTTGGAACCCACAGACCCTGTGACATAGTGTAGCCGCATCGCTTGATGCCGCAATGCTGTCGCAGCAACTGATCCTGGGGCAGCTGCAGCCGACCAGGGTGCTCTGACCAGAAATATGGCATGGATGTGACTGCAGTGAAATTCGAAGAGGTGCTCCCAGAGTCGCAGCCAATGTCGCCGAGGTTCATGAACATCACAGTACGCCCTTGGCAAGTGCCAACACGCATACCGCCCGTGCGACCGAGCGGGCCCCCAACGGCCCCAGTGCGGCGGGTTGTGTAGCCAGGCCCGCCGTTCCTCTGACGTCGTAGAAGCGAGCTCTTTCGTCTCTCACCATCGCTTCGGAGGTCCAGCCTCTGTGGCTTGGCCGTTGTTGCTGGTGCAAGAAGGCGGAGGCTTCCGCGCCATGCAGGCAGGGTCATTTGTAGCATCTTGCAGCCCAGCGTCAACTGCGTCACTCCACCAGTGATGCAGGTTCGGATGTGGAGCAGGCCTCGACAGACACAGGTGGCATCGTCAAGGTGCCACAGGACCTCTACGAGTTACTGGGTGTGAATGCTGATGCGGATGCCGAGCCTAAGCTTGGTTGTGAGAGACGACCTGCGCAAGTGTCGACGAAGCAACAAGCCAAGGACAAAATCAAAAAGGCTTACTATGACAAGATGAAGATCTGCCATCCTGACATAGCCGGTGATGATGGCCGGGGCCATAGCTGCAACATGGAAACTGATCGAGGTTTCTGTGCGACACGGGTTGGCCGTACAGTTTCTCAAGGTGAGGAAGTCTGTATTCTTCTGAACGATGCTTACGATATGCTGTCGAACGAGGACGAGAAGAAGGCCTGACCAGTTGGCCACACGAGACCCAGCAACCGATTTGAATTGAACAGTGTGTCCGGGCGAGGCCTATGACATCGAGTTGGTGGAACGAAACGGTTCCAAACAGCCCGCTCACATCTCGGAGCGTTTGGCAGTCTGGTAGAGTGGCTTGAAGAAGTCTTGGCTGTGTGCTAGCCCAAGGTGGTCTTTGATGAAGACCTCTCCCCAACTTGGGCAGCATGTCTGCAAGATCCCTTTCTGTGCCTTTGGACGCTCTTGTGGGCATAGTGGGAATTGATCGTGTTGAGGATTGGACTTCCAAGAATGGCAACAAAAAGGCGATGCTTGGCTTAAGAGCAGGTAACCACACAAGCGAATAAATGAGGAGGTCGTCTGCTTTGCGGGTGTCTCGGGGGTTCGTACATGCTCAACTCGCTCGACACCGCACCTTGCGTCTCAGGAAGCCCGTTTACAACGGGCGGCCGATGTCACGGTCTCTCTACCACAAAGTGCCACCAGAAGAAGCAGGGCCAAAATACGACGAGGAAAAGTTTGCAGCATGCTCAGAGCGACAATGGGCAACGACCCTGCTCGAGCTCTTCCCTATTTTGCAGTCTTGGTCTTCTCAGGTCTTTGTTGATGAATGGACTTGCATCGCTTGCCGCAATTGCTCCAACCTGAGACTTGACTACCACGAGGTTTGAAGAGCATCGCCATGGTGAGCTAAGGCTGCGATGTTGCACCTCGAACCTTCTGCATTGATGCAGATGCTGGACGCGCACGGGTTCCTTTCCCGATGTCCAGCGGCACAGCGTAGACAGAGCAGTGCTCTGAGTGTGCTGTGAGGTGTTTGCACAGTGGGGCAACGGAGAAGAGCTCCTGGACTACGCGGTACCCTGGCCTTCTGGGTGCTAGGCCATGATAGGCCATGCTGTGCTGTGCTATGCTAGGCTTTGTGCGCCTTGGAGTGCAAGGTACAGTCCTGCCCCGTGGACTGTATCTATTGGGTCAGTCGGGAGGAGCTCCAGGTCCTCGAGCACGTCACCCGCGACCGCGCCCCCATATTTCCACTTGTGCCCGTCGCCCGTCTGGTCCAGACAGACTGGCAGCCGAAGGTATGTATGAGATCGGCAACCAGCCGCCAAATTCCATGACAGGCATCGGCTCAGGCCGAAGTCTTGCTGCACTGCACTGCTCCATTCTCCGTCGTTCTCGGCCCTTGGCCTCTTCTCTTGACAGAGCCTGCAGAGGAATGGCCGACCCCTTCAGCATGGCAATGAGCTTCATGTCCAAGCAAGCAGACGAGAAACGCCGCCAGCAGGCTTTGGGCGCAGGCTCGCGCAGTCGCGCAATTCAGGCATTCGGTGCCTTCTGTGTGTTTGTGGGACTTCTATGCGAGGCTCAGCGGAGTTCTCCGCCATGCAAGAAAGGAGCCGGGAGGGGGTGACGGCTCGTATGAATGTGAAGCTGAAGCATCGACCAGGATCCGCGAACTCTTTGGCAGGCTCAGTGAGAGGCTGCGAATGGCTGGTTGGGGCTGAGGTGGAGAGTACTATTCATCAAAAAACACAGCTTCGAACACAAAGCAGCTCCGATTGCTAGCGACCCTGTGGACCTGTTAGAAAGTTGAGGAGGCCTTCAAAATGAAGCCCAACCAACGCGAAGCAGTAGCTTCAGGGCTTTGTTTGTTTTGTGCTTTCGAGGCCTATCTGTATGTGCCCATGTGCAAACTTCCATTAACGGGAAGGCATGTCAATTTTCCGAAGCATCCATCGCTTGTCACCAAATTTGTGCATGGCGTCCATTTTCCGTTGACTGGACGAAACTAACTAGCCGAATTCACTCGAAGAACTCTTTGCATATGTGCTCTCTGCTAGTGGAACGACAAAGGGAATCAAATCAGACCAAACTGTACTGGCCCCAGGCATGCTTGAATTGTCTGCTTCCAAGCATGCAGAGAGCCTCATACACCTGCCAGCCAGGGGCAGCAAGACATGTACCTTGCTAAAGCTGTTTGGCAAAGGAGTCATGGGGTCTATGATGTTTGGCGAAGCATGTCCGTGTCTGGCAAGGACGTCCGAGACTGTGAAGTCTGCCTGTGGCAGGCAGGCTGGATACCACCTGCGCTTCATGGCTCAAGCATGACTTGTAACGAGCCCCTTGAGGCTTCCGTCCGAGGCTGTACAGTTGAAGCATGTGACGAGATCACAGAAGAGCTTGGACGGGCCTCTATATTGTACATTTGCATCGAACGGCTCAAGAATACTTTAATTGACAGCGCGGGAATGACAGAATTGAAATTCTTTTCGGAGGTATGCTGTTTGGTGTTGTCAGCTTTTTGAAATGATAAGCCTGCGTGCCTGTGCCGTTGTAGAGCCATTCCCGAGTGAGGCCCGTTTTTCCAACAGTCTCTGACAGCACCCGCCCACTGCAGCGGTGCTCGAGATTGGGGGCCTGTGAGCGGGTTGGCCCAAGCGAGGCCCGACCCAGACCAAGACCCATTCCTTGCCGTAGTAGAAAGCCGCGTGTCGCCTTTTGAGAACTGATTGAACTGATTGAACGGAGGTGGTTGCAGGGGTTGCTGCTGCTTCCGGCAGGCAAGACCATGAAGACTGCACAGCGACGGCCGCAGAAGGCACGGTGGCACGAGCAGAGCATCGTCGAAAGAGTGCTTCAGCGATCGTCAGACAGAATGTGGCTGAACTGCGGGACCACGTCGCCTTTCAAGCCTGGGTTACAGCGGACACACGGACTCGGGGGTTTTGGTTGTAGCATTAGGTCGTGTGGCTTCCTTTGACTCCCAGCATTTAGCGATTTCAGCGATTGCTGTTGCGCTGTGTATTGGATTGCTCTCCAGCCGACCCCAGCCATGGTCGAGAGCGTGATAGAGCGCTCCAGGTCACGGTCCAGGCATCTGGAAAGCGTTTGACGGCAAACAGTGACTCGAAGGGTCGCAGAGCAGGCAGTGCATCTGTCCAGTTTAGGGCGATGAGACGGTGTCACGGGCAACCGTTGTGCAGAGATGCAAACTATATGTAGCTAGTCATTGTTCTCGGTGAGGTCGCATGAATGCAAATCCGAATCTCATGAGCGGGTTGGATGCCGGGTGCAGCTTGGCTAGGTTCTGGCTTTGGACTCCATGTTTCGCCCTCCTCTAACAGGTTTGTCTTGGCAGAGTAAACCGAGCGGATCTTAGGCTTTACGTGCCGCCGGAGTTGACAGGCGTGGTGGATGCGAGCCTGCACAGCAAGCTTGTCTTTTCTTCGTTCCAAGGTGTGCTAATTGGCCGTGGTGGTGAAAGCATCAATGCGATGTGCAGAGAGACGGGTGCGCGGATCGAAGTTGCCAGGGAGGATGCTGGCGCCGCCGATGCTTTGTCCACGATTAAGGGGAACTCCAGCACAAAGGAAAAGTCTGTGCTTCGATGTTTCTCAGGAGAGTATTGAGCCAGGGTTTGTGCTGTCTGACGGCGGTGTTCGCACGATGCGTAGTCAGCTGTTTCCGGAGGCTTATGGAGGCTTTTTCCAGTGACCCGTTTCTGTTCCACAAGTGAAAAGTCTCTTTCTTTAGTCAGCTTTATCTTCAGGACCGGCCTGTGACAATCACAGGATCTCCAGAAGCAGTGGACAGGGCAGTCCGTGCTGTAAAGAAGATCGTGGACAGCGAAAAGCGACCCCCACAAGAGCAGCGCAAGGTCATGCAAGTCGCTGGAGCATTTGTAGGCTGCCAGGCTGCATCTCCCGCACATGCTTCACATGTTGTATGCCAGTGAGCACATCGGCACCTGCTCTTCGGATTTCGGGTGTCAGGCATGATCATTGGCAGAGGTGGTGAGAACGTCAAGGCCATGTCTCGCGAAAGTGGTGCCAAGATAGAGGTGTCCAGGGATGATGGTGATCGCGACGCAGCGGCCCGCCCGAAAAGCGAATTGTGTTTCTGAGCCATGATCTTGCGAATGGTCCTCGAGTTAGTTGCCGCCAGCAAAGGATAGAAACGTCACCATTACTGGCACGGCTGAGTCCATAGAGAAAGCGACACAGCTCATTGAAGACGTCATCGGCAATCGAGCCGGGGCCTCCGACGATGACAGGAGCCTGTCAGCAGCGCAAAGCAAAGTAACAGCATACTTCGTGAGGGGTGCAAGACGATCTCACCTGTTGCCGCAGCTAGTCCAGGAGTGATGCAGAGGCTCTACCGGATCCACCGCCAGGTTTTGAGGTGAGCGAGCATGAGGAATGGCTCTTCAATGCGAAGACAGAAGAGTTCTTCAACAAGAAGACCGGTGCTTTTGCTTGGCTGAACACAAGCACGGGCATGTTCTGTCCCATCAGCACCTCGGTACAGGCTTGAGGGTATCCTCGCTGAGGCTTTTGAGCTCACTTTTGGCTGTATGCTTGCACGTTGTAAGCACCACTGTGCCGAGGAGAAGGTGTGCGACATGACGATCTAGAACTGATATCCGGCACGGCGGTTGCCGTCGCGAGCAGTGACAACAAAAGCGCACCCAAGACAGTGGTGATTCCGGACCTCCATCGTGTCGCGCAAGCCCTGAAAGCCCCTTTTGACCACGTGGATGCACCAGCCTCCATGATCGGTGTTTTTGGTTGTTCGGCTGGTGACGGCCCTGGTGTGCCAGTTGACCAGGCGGCGCGCACATTTCACGAGAGGCTTGTGCGGCGGATTGCTTCGTGGCGGAGTGCTTGGTTTGACCAGGCTTGGTTCGGCGCACTGACGGGTGCCATGATGGACGTTGCGGGCGAGAATGGGGTCCTGCCGTTGGCAGCCGTGGCATTGCTTGTTGGACGCAAAGTTATAGCTGCTTCTGCACCTGGCGCCCGCGCTTGCCTAATGGCTGGAGCTAGCAGCGATGCTTGCACTGCGGTGGTGCCCATGGAGGTGAATGGATCCGTCTGCTGTTTCCAACAGCTCCCAGCTACAAGTCCAGGTGTCGCAGACACTCTGTGCATTCCAATTGCCCTTATCGCGGGCGTCTCAACTCTGGATGACAACGTGACTTGCGCTTCGGTGAGCCGGCATCTCGACCTTCATGCATCGCCCAGCTCTCACAGGGGTAGGTGACACCTTTGCCGCTCGATCCGAGCCCAGGTCGCTGTTTCAGAGGCGGCCGCGCGCGGCCGCCGTAGCCCTGCTCCGTGCAGCGCGCCAGGCGTGCCGATCCCTCCCCCCTTTCCGCAGCACCGGCAACCGCTGCATGCGCTCTTTTTTTCAGGCGGGTTCTGCTGGGCCCTTGGCAGCGGCCACGGCTTGCCTCGGCGGCCGCAAGGCCTGGTCTGGCCTGGGCTCCGAGGGCAATTGGATTTGGAGCGACACGAATTGAGAAGGTCCTGGTTGCAGAAGAGAGCCCGGACGTCGGCAGAAAAGCTGTCAAGGACTTCACGTCTTCCGCAGCGTAGTCAGATGGCTGCAGGATTCAAGGCCCCAGATAGTTCCTGCTGTATGCAGATGGGGCAAGTGATTCAGGAGAAGATGAAACAAAGCAAGGTGCGGGTTCGCCAGATACTTCTTCGCTTTTGGTCGGGCACCTCAGCCAGCTTGGGGCGAATACTAGGACGATTTAATTTCTCCACAACTCAAGAACGTTTGCCAGCATTGTTCATGGTTGATCCATGCAACTTTGAGGTAAAGGTGCGCAGCCGATCAACCCAGTTACGCGAAAGCCCATCACAAGGAAGGTGGAGGAAGCCGAGGTCCAGATGCTGGTGCCTGGCCCCAAAAGAGAACGACCAAGCATAGGCCTATCGAAGACTTAAGATTCCCGTTGATGTTTGCGAGGCGTGTGCTCATGAGCTCTGTATGTTGTCAGGATGTCCTGGACAAGCTGCTGGCGGAGAACTCTGCGAACTTCGCGTGCATCTGCAAGGCCTTGTCGGAATGCGGCTCCGCGATGCGCGGGGGAGCAGACAACGGTGATCTTGGCTGGCTGGACTGGTCAGCTTTACTTCGCAAAGCAGGCTACATGTAGCTTCCAGGGAAGATCATGTTTCGCCTTCGCCAGGACCAGGCAAAGGTCGCAGCACTGGCGAAGGCGAAGGGCCAGCCCGGCGGCCCGAAGTCCGTCCCATGGCAGCAGCGATGATGAGCCACGTGATTTCACACTATTGTATGTGATAAGATACATGGAGAGGACGAGGATAAGACAACGATATGGCAGCGGTGTCTAAGCTTGTTTTTTCTGGGGCAGGAAAAGAATGTGCTCGTGGTATCATAACGACTTTGTATGATCCCCGACAGCTGGGAAAAAGTTCTGAAGATATGGAACGCCGCAAAAGATGATGATGAGCAGAGTCAAGCTAACCACTACAAAAATGGAGAAGTGCAAGATAAAGGCATCGGCGAGATCATCACAACAGCAGCACCTATTCATACAGCGTCTTTGTTTGTGTTGAGCCTGATGATGTCTGAGCATGCTACTGCCAATGCTAATCACGGTTCTCCACATTGCCAGGTTGTGCAGTCCAGTGTGCCCGTGGCAGTGGTTAAAGTGGCCTTCGAGTTGGAAAAGGGTGAACTAAGTGATCTCGCCTCTCGGCTTCTGCCGGCTTTCCTTCCTGCGCATTTCTGGGGCTCTTTGGTACTGCTACATTCCGCGAAGCCCAGGTGGTGTCCGAGCTCGGCGTGCACCTGGTGCAGAGAACCGGCTAAGCTCGTGCCGCACTGGATTGCGATGTGCTCCGTGTCCTCGCAGGTCCGTCGACAACCTCTCGAAAGTCTACGTAGTGCGTGCGCGGATTGGCTTCGGACGACCGAGACGCGACACGACATGCGCCTGCAGCCGGTACCTTTAGACAACAAGGAGAGAAGAGGCGAAGCATGGCGAAGCCAAGCAGGAATCCGGAAGCAGGATCTGAGCAGCAGCGAGCGGCCAAAAGTCTCCTTGCTTTGGTATGCTTTGGTCGCATTCAAACTTCCAGCGCTGTCATGTGTTGCTGCCTTGTTGCAGGTAGAAGGTGCCAAAGGTGCGGCTGGAGCGCAGGGCGGCTGGTTCGAGTCCTCCCGCGATATCCCTGGAAAGTGGGCAGATGGCTCGGCCTTTGTGATGCCTGCAGTCATGGGCTTGCTTGCAGGGCTTGAATTTGCTAAGCGTGGTACAGCTTCATAATTCAAGAGTCGAGACAGCTTCTTGCAAAGGTGTTCCTGAAGGAGGTCAGCGGAAGTGCTGCGCAAGGGCCGGTGCCAGACTCAGCTAGACCGATTGCCCAAGTGCTGGAGGTCACCTTCAAGCACACAGTCCCCAAGATGGACAGTGGGTTGAACCGACTTGAGATTCACAAAAGCCGAGATGAAACAGCGCTACCTCTCTGCTGTCTTGCCACATCTTGCTGCCATGTAGGGACTGGGGTAAGAAGCCACGTCGCATTCTCCAACCGATGCGTAGTTGCCATTAGCTCCTCACGGCTGCAGGATCACTTGATCTGCTTCCTTCCTGGGGCCTTAGCGCTTGACGTCTTTCATCACGCAGTCCGCCGACTCAACGGTACAGCGGTGCAACCGCATCACCTGGACAGGGACCGTGCAATGGAGCTTACATTGGCCCACAAGCTGCCTGCTAGCACAAGCTGTGGACTTGTCGATAGTTTGTTTATTGACTTTGTGTTGTTTCGTTATAAGTTATACCACTCTTCCCCAGCAGGCTGATGCAGTCGTGCTGCTCGGAAGCGAATCAGTGCATGTCTTGATGCCGCATGATCTCTTCGAGCTCATAAGTTACTTATAAGCATGAGTAAACACCATGACCGCAGGGCCAGCCGCCCTGGACCGGTTGCACTGTAGGCGGAAGAACCCGTCTGGACGTGAGGCGTGCAGATGTACTTTCGCACCGTGACGGATTTGGCTCCTGAGATCACTCGATTTAATGGCCACGGCCTGGAGGACGCATGACGATCACCGGCTTTCAGTTGCCGTCCCCAGGGCTCTAGGGTTCTACGCCGATTCTACGCATTGGAGGATACTGGACAAAGCTTGACTGCCGAGATAACGGTACAAGCAATGTAGAAGGGGAGTTCATGCCCGTTTCTCTCTTCGCTTCATTCACAGTCTGCAACTTCTTCGGCGAATTCCGGCTTGGTATTCTAGCTGGTCCCGAATTGATCCAGAATCCACTTGAGTCATATCCGTCTTTGCGGGGAGTGATTCCCGAAGCGATGTTGTGTTAGTTCGCCCGTGGTCTCGTTGTTCCGTTCCTCTTGTTCCTGACTGTGTGCACCCTGTCTCTGACCTAGCTTCGTCGTGTGTGCGTCTGAATTCTGTTTGTGAATCTGCATTCTTGCTGTCTTGAAACCGCCTCCTGCTCATTCACCTGTTTTGGAACATTTTGGAACCAACTCCACAGCAGCACCCACGATGTCTGACTCACCTTTGCCGTGGCTTCTTTGTTTGCGTGTCCAGTCGCATAGAACATAGTCCGTGCCTAAAGCGTTGCGAGCTTGCTGCCTGTCCGCTTGCATCTAGCTGTGTACCTGGAGCTAGCCTGGAGCTGAGCAGGATGACCACGGCTCCATGCACAACATCCTGAGACCAGAGACTGCATCTCCACTGCACGCTGGCATGGAAGGAAAGTCATCCACCTGAGACGCTTCAGGTCGAGAGCCTTTTCGTCCTGTGGCGGACGACGAAGCTCCAGGTTTATCGAAATTGGGGGCAGAGGCTTCTTTCTGCTTTCTATCGCCTCAAGACGAGCTACGGCTTCGCAAGTTTGCACAACGTCAACCAGCCATCATCCAAGCGGGATGACATGCCTTCCTTCTTCTTAGCCGAAACGCTGAAGTGCCTGGGCATAAGTAGTTTTTGTGACTGTAAGCTGTGCCATGCGCACTTCCTGCATTTCTAGCTTGAGCGCAGTTATTCTGGTCTCGACGGGTGAATGACATAATAGTAGTGCCCGCTACAACATGACCCCCAAAACCGCAACAACAAAACCCTATGCTGCGAACTACCCAATGGACGACATCGCAACTGGCACAAAAGCCTTGCAAAACAGTGCCCTGAAACCAGACCACCAGACGCCTACTGTTCCCTGAGGTAGCATCGTTTGGTCTTTGAACCCGAGCATTGACAATAGCAACCGCAACAGCAACAATGACAGTTAGTGGTCCGCTCCAACTCAACCACCAGCTTTACCGCCAGGTAAAAGCCTGCGGGTGCCGGGAGTCTAGTTGCCCCAGATTGGCAAAAAACTGAAAAGAAGATGCTTGATATAGAATCCTTGAAAACCAGGAGTCCTCCACCCCATTTTCAGAGCCTCAATCCCACAGACCTCCCTAAGTTGGAAATCCCGATGCCTTCGCCCTCGTTGCAACGCTGCTCACAGTTCTCCCTGAAAGGCGGAACTTGTTCAAAGTTCAAAGTTGAGGTACCTGTTCCTGCTCTTCTCCCCAGATTCCGTCCTCCCTTTGGATCGCTTCGTTCTCAGCACGGAGGCCCTGGAGAAAGCCTCCCCCTCCCACACTCAAGCTAACTGGGTTTTGGGAGGCTCATCCGGTGCCAATGATGCGTGCCATGTCCTCGCTGGGAGTGGAGTGGCCCTGCCAAGCGGGCCTCCGGACCCAGGCGGCCCAGGCCCCGCAGCTCCTCGGCCTTTGGATCACAGCTTTCCTAGCCCTCCCCGGGGCTCAGAGCTTCTAAGGTTGAACCCATGGGCCCCTAACATGGGCCCTTAGGGGATTCTAGGGTCCCTTAAGGGTATATATAGGGTATATATAGGGTATATAGTGGGTATNNCCCATGGGTTCTACCTTAGATGAGCTGAGACCCTTGTCGCGGGAAGGTCACAATCGCTTCCCGGACAGACGGAGGAGCTGCTCGAAGCCTTTCGGATACTCTCACAGTCCTTGCTTTCCCGCGTGGATCAAAATGGTAATGGCTTCTCTGCATTTCTCTGCTCCGCGGCGCCTCTTGGATGTTTGTACTCTTCGGGTCAAATGGCGCAGCCTTGGGCCCGAACACATGCAGGAAGGTCCTTCAAGTCAAGCCAACGAGGCTTTGCGGCAGCGGTGTGAGTACTCATCCGAACTCATCAACTTGTGGGACCTGTTTATTTGCAGTGAGTCTCTGTGTCTCTGCTGGTGATTGGACAAGTAGCCCGATGTAGCCCACGCCGCTGGACTCGGGAACGCTGGCGATGGCGCGGCGGACCCACGAACTTTGGCACCTTCATGCTAGCACGGCTTGCAGCATGCCTCGGTGTGATCCCTTCAGTGCCGGCAGGCCTTCTCAAACATGCGTCGACACATGTCTTCTCGCATTACTGTCCAGCTGCATGAAGAGACTCTGGGCCAGGGCCCGTGGCAGCCCTCCAGCAGCTCTCGGCTGAGGCGGCGAAGCGTCGCCCATCCGACTCTTTCAGTTTTGTGAGATTGTTTCAGGCTGTCACCAGCCCTGTTTTGGGCTTAGCAAAGGGCCATGCCCCTCTTCCACGTGAGAGGTGCGCTGCATGATCAAGATGCCTCCCAAATCACTTCCTGGGGCTGTGCAGGTGGCACAGGACCTCGGATGCAAGCAGAACCGAGGACCATCAATGCTTGCCATTTGCCGTGCCAATGTCGGCAGGTGAAACATGTGGTGGAAGAAGTTGTTGCAGGAAACGGTTTTCCTGGACCTCCAGCTATGCTTCAATTCATCTGTTGACCTCACTGCTATTGAGCATGGGTCCCGAACGGCTTGTTGGACAACCCTTTGCAATCATTTCGATTTCCCGAGGTTCTATGCTGAAGATGTGGTACCACTGCGAAATGGAGACTTTGGATGGTGCGCTTTCTGTGGCCTGCATGTTCTCGGCCACATAGCTTCTGCAGGGTTCACCCAGCTCAAATTTGGGACACGTGTTGGATGTAGGCGAATTGTCCATCCCATCCCGAGCAGTTCAAGCTCAGCGACGCAGTGGCACGGCTCTTAGAAGATCATGCATGTCATCGCCATCATCATCATCATCATCATCATCAACAGTTTGGAGACTTTCAGCGGAGCATTGCTGTGCCGGGGTGGGTTCTGTGCGTGTGGAGGTTTCGTCTGGGAGATGTCTGCGGCTCGTGATTCGTTCGGTGGTTCCAGAATTCTCCACGGCTTCCAGCCACAGCTGCTAAAGCCTTTGTTTGCAAGGCTTTGCCGACATTTTCCAGCGACCGCCCTGTGACAGACCAGCTGCCGTCGTCGTGGTCTCTATGTTCCATGTGATGTGTGTCCATAGAAAGCCGAGTTGTAAAGGCTGAGGGGCTGTAAGTGTCAAGGCCGGGAGCCTATCGAGCTGTTCTGGAACCGCCGCTGAGGCCAAGAAGCTGTGACGGACAAGCCTACTGTGTCTGGAATGAGAGCTGGCTCGGATTACTCTAACATGTTCGCCGCTGCCAGGCTCCCCAACGCAGGGAGGGTGTGTGTAGTAATGTCCTGTACATGTAGTCACTAATGTAGTCAGGACATGAGGCGCAGCCTGGCATGTCGACTGCCGCTGTACCTGGTGCTGCTTGGAGTAGCTTCTGCAGGACCTGAGAGCTTTGAGAGACAGAAGAAGTCGCAAGCAGCGCGCTATGCACGGCTATGCCAGCTATGCGCAGGACCCTTTAAGCATTTTGCTGCTCCTGGCAGTGCCTGGCCGCTGCTTCCTTGCAGGACCTCACATGACCTGACCGAACTCTTAAAACCCTCTCAAAACCAGCCGCTGCTTCCCGGAGGACTGTTCCTTCCGCCGCGCCCGCACGGAACGGAGCCTTGCCTGACCTGGGTTGTAAAGCAAGAGCATCCAAGGCTCTGAGCTTTTGGACCCGAGGCCCAGCTGGTCTGATGGGCATCTTGGGCGATCGGGTTCAGCTTTGGAATGATGCAAACAAGAGCTGCTCTGGAGCAATTGCTCGGGTGCCTTTGGGGCTGCCTTTGTGGTCGGCAGCTGGGCAGAGATGAGCAGAGTTGGTTTCAAGCTTCCAGCCGTAGCTGTCGGTGGAGTGAGGAGCAAGGTGGGCAAGGTGAGCCTGTTAGATGGAATCCTGCTGGCCAGGTAGCCGACGAAAGGGTGACTGCAGTGACCATGTTGGAGAACATGACCCTCGCTGTCGCAACTTATTTGCCTTCTCAGACATCGTATGGTCCCTCTGGGCTCGTTTACGTGTTCTCAGCGTCACAGCTTGGCATGGCAAGTGGCCACGACATCTATCTGGAGACTGGCGCAGAGATTCTCTCAATGCTTCAGTTGCCGACAGGTGCCACTCTTCTTGGAGGAACCCTTTTCTCGCAGCAGGCAGCGTTGAATGGCACCATCGAGGTTTTTGGGCCTTCCGATTTGAGAACAGGCGGCGCTTCGAGCTTTGCCATTGAGACGAAGCACGGCATTGCTGAGCTTGTTCTGGTTAGCGCGCAAATTCTGGCAGCATCGACGGGGGTCAATGGCGAAATACTGTTTTACGAGACAGCAGCGATTGAACGACGCGAAGGGTCTGTGAAACCACTCGCCGAATTGAACCTACAGGCCGCCATCCATGCAGTGGCGCCCCGGCTAGAGACATTCTCAGTGACACGGACACACGTTACCAGCTGTCTCTGCCTTGTTGGAGGTCATAGTTGACGGCCGCGCAGTGGTCGCCGGAGACCATGGACTTCAGATTTACTCACTCGACGATGTGCTGCAAAATCGCCGGCAAGAGCCAGTCCTTATGTATCGTGTCGACACCGCCACTCAGCGAGGTCGAGCCCATCGCTGTCTCTATGCCAAGGTATTGGAAAAACCGATGTCATGTTACAAAGTTACAGTAGCCGTCAGAATCCCGACCGACATGCACAGTAGACGCCTGACTTACATTTCGCTGATCGTGGGCGTGGCTTGCTTGTTGACATGTGAAGTGCAAACCTTGACGGCAAAAGAGAAGTACTATAGCTAGTTTCTCCGCTCTGGCTTATCGGCACAGGGGCTTTGAGGATTGTCGCATGCTTCGTCGGACGCTTGATGCGCCCGGTTTTCTCTGCATGTGCAGTGATTAATACAACAACAAATCAGAAGATCAAATCAAGAGATAAAGAATGCGCGTTTGTGTTTTCATGTCTTTTGGTTACTTCATTTAAAATTAGCTTTGGTCGCCTATCTTTTCTTCAGAAATCAAAGTCACGGGCCTTTTGGAAGTTCTATATCTTGGAAATACACTTGAACTTGCAACGATATTATGACTTGAAGGCAGTAAAAACTTTCTAGAGACCTAAATTCTGTACGTAAAAAGTACTGTAATGAATTCTTTTGTTTCCTTTTCTCTTTTTGCTTCGTTCAATTCACGCACTACGTCCCCTCAAATGAAACAAAAGGAAAAAGAAATGAAGGAATGAACGGAATCAGGAACAATTGACCGTGTACTCGCTTCGTTTCTTTTCTGTTGCCCTGTACAAGTGAAAGAAACCTTGACAACCCTATGGTAGCAGAA